TGCGACCCGTTTGTAAATACTTGGATTTATTTCCTTGCTCTAATAACATTAATTACCAGTTATGACAGTTTCATACTCTTTGATATGCTGGTGTTATCAAATTTAAGTTTTATTTACTTCAATTTATTATTGGAGATTATTAATTTTACCTTAATATAGTAAAAACTTTTTAGTAAATAATAGTATGCATATAAACCCACGGCAGGGCGTCGGGTCTTTTATATAAGGGTAAAGTAGTATTTATATCTTTTATTTTTTTAATCGATTACATAGCCAGACGTAGGCATAGCATGAAGAACGGCCGTTCGATTTCTGCCAAATTCAAATAAAAAATTAAACTTCTCAAGTATGCTTATAAAACGCCTGGTCAATATTTGCAATTTAAAACGAGTTTTAAACATGGTGTATTGTAAAAGTGTCTCGAAGACATAGACGTTTGAGGAAGTCTTAGTACCTATAAAAACGTCGGGTCAAAACCATCTAAAAAAAATCCCATAATTCTAAAATCAAATTTCCTAAGTAACTTTACTTTGAAAATGAAAGGCTTGTATTTACTGTTTAATACATTTTCCAGTACAATAGACTTGCTTGTAATTCGATTTACATCAGTACAATGACCACGAAGTGCAAGAAATTAGAAAAGTATATTTGCTGCACGTCTTCGTTCATAAGAAATGCATTAGCAATGTGTGCAGTCAGTCTGCAGTTGAGACGTGTGTGTGACAGCTCTGTCATGTCCGTCCCATGCACGCGCTGCTCTATGAAATTCCCTTATAATGCTGTGTTAAACGACGTGCATTTGCTCAAGACGAGTATAAGGCACTGGTTATCAAAGTCAAAGAGTACTTTGAATTAATTATTTTATTCGTAATAATGACTTTGATAAGAACAGACAAGCATGGGGTTCGCTTGATGGTAGGTCAAATAGCCCAGCCTTATATCATCCAAACAAGTTGCGCTGTCGACCTATTTGTCTTGGTATTTGGAAATTCATAAGCTGAAACCGAAAGGGACCGTTCAAGTATTACGTAAGCACTATAGGGGGTGGGGGGGTCTTTGTTTTGCTTATTTTTGATGACATGGGGGGTAGGGGAGTCCAGATGATGATTACGTCATCGATATTTATTTCACTTTCCCCTGAATCAACTCACCTTTTGGATATTTGGAAAATCACTATAAAAAAATAACTTTTTTTTTTTAAAAATTTTTTCCTAAGCCCGGGGGGGGGGGAAAAACCCCTCCTTTTTTTTTTTGGGGGGGGGGGGGGGGGGAAAATTTTTTTTTTCCCCCCCCTTTTTTTATAAACCGGCACCCCCCCGAAACTTGTTTTTTCACGACCTAAAATGTTCAAATAGGAAATAAATAAAATTTCCTAAGGAATAAAATACGATGACAGTTATAAAATCGAAAACGGAGTGCTTTCTATAAATCGCTGGTCGCGTCGCTAGTCGCCGTTGCGACTTAATAGTTACATTACTTTTTTCAGTCATTCGAAGCATCGGCGTTCGCATCACGCGAATCAGTGCCGGTGTTTGAGGTTCCTAGGTCTTTATACAGTAACGTTAGTTACGTCTTAAAATATATTTTATTAAATCGTAATTATATAAGAAATTATCGCATACAATTTAATTTGTTTACACTTCTTCAAGGCATTACAAACATACAAAAGATATTTTAAGACGAAGTGCAACTGGCGGCAACCGTTTGAAATATAATATGACGTAAATACTGTCTGTAGTTTACGCGAGTATAAATTAAAATAAAACACGTAAACAGTTTAAAACGCGAAATATATTACAACTAAACTTAAAAGGTATACTTATAAGTCTCCCCGTAACCACGGCTACTGCAAAGTATCCGAAACGTCGGGTTGTAGTTAAAATATTTTTAAATAAGTTTAACTAACATATATCGCGTTTTAAACCGTTTAAATATTTTGTTTAAAATGGTGTATGTATATACTTATATTTAGTACTACAATTACATACAACTATATAATACTAGTATTAAATATTTTATGTCTATTTGACGATTATTAAAAAATATATTTTCAAAACGCCATAAATTTATGAGAGACACAATTTCTGAGTTGAGTTAATGTAAATAGTAATTAACCAACCACACCCGAACATCAAAAGGACTCCTCACGTATGCACTTGATCGCTCGCTAACGTGACGTCCATCGATTGTGGGGGTGTTGGGGGTGTTCGGGGGTGTGTGGAGGTGTGGGGAAAGAAAGCTTTAAAAACAGAGAGCCAACGTCTCAACGACGGCCCAATACGTCCCCGGCCGGCCGTCGATTACGAGCGCCGTTGCATATGTAGCGTTCGCAAATAAATATTCACAATACTTTTAAATAAAACACTTTAACGGGTTAAAACGCGATATATTTTGTATTTTTTTATTGGTTAAACTTATTCTAACTACGGCACGATATTTCGGATGCTTTGCAGTAGCCGATAGTAGTAAGTATACATCGTGTTTTAAAAGAAATGTGTTTTATTTAAATGTGTACCACTCGCGTAAACTACAGATAGTAATTAATTCACAACAAATATAATATTACACAAATAACGATTGAAAGTAATTTTGGCAAAGTAGACTAAAATATAAACTACACCTACAAAAGTCGTCTAGAACAGTAATCAAATCACAATATTTATATATATATATTATTTTTAAACGTTACGTCTACTTTTTTGTTTTGTTAATTTGCTGACGGTACATTGCATCTGAGTGCGCACGGAAACACACGAGCATCAGTAATACAAGATTCGTTATTTTTCGCCACCTCCAGCGTATTGATTAGTACTCATTTCTGCTTACACAGCACCTGTGTCATCTGTTTCAGTTTTCAGACAAGCATCTAGACTCTTTTACATTACGAAACTCAAACAGTGAACAATCCCTTAAAAATCGAGCTTTCGGCCAATTTTCAGGTGCACAAAATATCGTGCAAATAATTATTGTAGTCAAACAAAAGACCCCAGAAACAAATGCTAAACTTTAAAATAAAACCATCAACCGTTTAAAAATGAGAAGTATATTAGTTAATTACATATTTGCAACAGTTGTGACTACGACGTTTAATAGATTTTCCTAATTATTTCGCGTTTAAAACCGTTAAAGATTTTGTGTTTAAATATACGACTACAGGCAATACTAAATTAAACTTTGATTGTAAGGACGCCCTCCATCTTTCGTCCCCCGATAACCTCGGTTGCTGCAAAGCAACTGAAACGTCAGATCGTCAGTTAAAGATATATTGCGTTTAAAACCATCAGAAGTGTTTTATTTCAATGAAATGAAGAGTTTTTTACACATATATGTTTGCAGTTGCAGAAACTAACGGAAAATATATAGACATACGACAGCCTACTTGTAATTAAATGAAAAATATATTATTTGCTCAATCATTTTTTAATTGTAATGTAATTAAATACTGTCTATAGTTTACGCGAGTAGTACACATTCAAATAAAACACTTTAAAACGGTTTAAAGCACGATATATTAGTTAAACTTATTTGAAAATGATTTTTAACTTAGGTCCGACGTTTCGGATGCTTTGCAGCAGTCGTGGTCACGGGGAGTGTCCCCGTGCACGGGCCCACGGCCCAAGGTAAAATACTTTTCAAATAAGTTTACTAATATATATCGCGTTATAAACCGTTAAAGTGTTTTATTTAAATGTAATGTAATTTACAACTGAACTCTTGAATACTGGTTTTAAGCGAAGTTTACTATTAGGACAGACTACACAACTAGCTCGAACGATATCTTGCATGAAACTAAAGAAGTAACTTACTTACTTATGTATATTTTATGTATTTTTATGTATAAAGGATAATACGTAATCGTTTTAAAACTATCGACCAATTAAAGACAAAGAGTCGCGGAGCTAGAACGTCAAATGGCTGACTTCGCGAATTTAAAATGAATAATTGGTGGACTATTTCAACGAATTAATGCACCGACTGAATGAGTAAAAGCCCTCGTTTATTTTCCTCTTTCGATTGACAATATGTGGACTGAATAAATTTCTATCTTTTTCAACATTGTGGCTTAATTTGTCTAGTTACGTGGTGTATTGAACGGGTAAATTGAAACTTTTGAGTCAGTCCCGAACCTCGTGGAGCCTGTTGGTTTATAGCTTATTTAAATAAAACACTTTAACGGTTTGGAACGCTTACTAAACTGTTGATTATGCTTTGCAGCACCCGTGGTCCCCCCGGGCCCCGGGCCGCTCCCCTTTAAAAACTTAACTTTCAAATAAAACCTTTTTTAACGGTTTAAAACGCGATATATATTAGTAAAACTTATTTGAACATACTTGACGTTTCATTTAGCTTTAGTCCTTATACCTTAATTGAATTCAGAGAAAAAAATGTTATGTTTTAAAAGTAAAAATCCTAAACGTAACTGCTATTTAATTCCAGATTTAATTTTGTATTATGATAGGAAAGCCAAAAAAGCAGGGGATTCTATCAACCATATAAAAACTAAATAACATGCGTTTGCAACGTATTTCGATTTTGGATATTTGAAAATCTACAGACTGAAAACTGTGGACTATGGTTCGTGCGTGACCCGGACAGAATTGCGATATCCATAATATCCAGGTGTCCAATGTTCAACGTTGCAGAAAAATTATGAGTTCATTTGAAACATATTGGATAATGATTAAGCTTTTTACTTTTAAAATTAGAAATAAGAGAAAAGGTCGTAACTTCCTTCACTTCAATTTTCGTGATCACATTGACCACAAACGACCACGAGCACATCTAATCGTAAGGTATTGAGCTGCCACCATAACATGTATTCAGTGTCTATCTGTTGCTTACAGTTATTTATGCTCACCTTCATACATTTAGTGGTTTTCTTTAAAAATCCTTTTAGCATTTCTTTGTGATAAAACGTGGATCGTCTAATTATCCTTACCATTAAAGCGTTGTTTTTCAAGACCCATTCCACCAGGACCATTGCTAATTAAGCAGTGCTGATGACAGGTGTCAAGTCGTCAAGCGAACCGCAATGGAACACTCAGTGCATTATCAACTCGCATCGAGATGACGGCAGCGTCGCTGTCGCTCCCACGTCCCTAAGTTTACTCTGCTTCGCTCGAAATTTCACTTCAGACGCGAGCGGGTGTAAGTTACGAACGGAAGCGATACACAATTATTATATATTGTTTAAAGTTTACGCGAGTAGTACATATTTACTTTAAATACGCGAAATGTTAAACTTATTTACAATTTATGTTAACACAGACATTTTAATGATTTGCACCAGCCGTGGTCACGGGAGAACAATATGGTCAATTTATATTGTCAAGAATGTCTATTACATTCTTAATAATCATTCATTAGCGTTTCATACAAGGGTTTAGACCTGGTGAAAAGAACTGGGAGACATTTTTGGCTCTTTTTACATATTTAACTACAAAAAATGAAATAGTCTAGTCCTGTGTAATGTTTTGGAAAACAAATATTTTTCGTTTAAATAAAACACTTTAACGGTTTGAAACGCGAAATATTAGTTGAACTTATTTGCTTGATGCTATGCAGCACCCGTGGTTTCCCCGTCAGCAGCACGGGGAGACTACTCTTTAAAAACTTTAAACTTGTGCCAATAAAAATATTTTTTTAAATTGGCATATATTTTTTTATATTACGGATATGACGATATCGAGACAAAGGTATGGTCCACTTAATGCAGCTGTATATTGTCGCTCCGCTGCCTCTCACAACTCGGACCACATTTTCCCAAGTCACTCCTGTCACGTCAGCGTGCCCGACAGTCTCGCCGGCGATGACAGGCCGCGACTGAATTGTTCCGTGCCAGTTCTGACACCGCGCCGTCTTAGTTTATTTCGGTTGCTGTTATTATTGATTGCATTTCCTTCGGGTTTCCGATTGACAGGTTGCGTCTGATAGTGTCAGAGCGAGTTCTAGCTTCGCGCTTTCGTCGGCTGAAGTTGAACGCTTGGCAGGGCATCTCTTGAGGGGATCTAACTTATTAATGGTTTTAGATATGAGCATCTCATACAATATCTAATTCATATCATCTCATACAATAACAATGTTCCGTCACTGTTCTCTTGTAGATTAACATCTTAAGACTGTGAAAAGATAAATATTTAATTTAATAATTCAAGTCATAATATTGCAGTTAGGCTAATCTGTCTCTAGCGGCCTTAATTGTTATTTAAAAATATCAGTAGTATTTCTTATAATGATAGCAATAATTCGTGTCTTGAAAACAAATAGAGGAAAGAACAGAAGTCACCAGCTCGAACAGCTAAACAATAGCAGCAATTAAACAAAAACTTGCAAAACAAACGTAATGCGCATTGCGCACAAGAGTGACAACGTCGACATCGTCACGAACTTGTAAGTTGTTTGAGGTCACTCGATTATCGGAGTCGAGCCCGCATAACCTGACACACACAAAGACTACTCTATAATAGGATTTCTTCTTTTTGCGCGAGCTTTTGACGAGCTCAGCAAACCATCATGGATCTTTTGTTTGGATACGCTGCGTCTTTTGATAGGAGATATAATTCGCTTAAAGGATTATGTTTTTAATGCCTCATTGGTCTAGTAGATAGTACTCACGTACAGAACCGAAAGTCATGGATCAGTTATCGTAACTGATTTAGTGACAGTAGATGTTAACACAAACCAACCAGACTGTTAAGCATTCTGGGTTTAGGCTTTTAAACCATATAAAAAAGGAGTTAAGAGTCCTATAGTGGAAAGTTGGGAGGTTACAAAGAATCAGATCAAAAAGGAAAGCTTTCAACAATTCTTTGTTACCGTAGAACAACCCCTAAAAGATAAGCGTCAATAAGAAATCAACTGCCAAAATGCTAGAATACATTGCGAGAAATAGAAACAAAAAAGCCCACGCGCAAAGGAGTCCGCGTCTGAATTGTTAAACGGAGTTTCAAGAATTGAAGCGTTCGAACCGTAAGACGTAACTCCGCAGCACAACCCTGCCACGTATAAACGTAAAGTGCAATACAATAAGAAATAACGAGGCAATATCAAAGCGGGCGGCCGTCAGTCGTCTTGAGCGCAGTGCGCCAGGACAGTCATTTCAAAGTGACAGGGGGTGGATGTGACAGGGGGGGACCGGGGTGGACCAGATGGATTGATATTGCACCCGGTAAGACGGAGCGATCGCATGCGACGGAAAAACACGACGCCCCAGAACGTATTGCACTTGAAAGTTGCTTGATAGATTGATTCAGTGCATTTGGGATTTTTTTCAGTCGACGGCGTGATTTACTCCGAGGTTAGGAGTTGAGTAATTTATGCCCTGAGCTGTTCGGATTGATAAGTTCGCGGGATTAAGGCGGGTCAGAAGTCGGTTGGCTGAAAAGGGATTTAAGAACGTAGACCAGACAATTTGTAAAGAGTATCCTGTTTAAATAAATTATAACGCGTTTGCAAACTCTAAATATTTTTCACATTTTAAATATTGCATATGATGGCAATTTATAAATTAAAAATCGAGTTTAGATTTATTTATTCGAAAATCGATTTTAATTATAAGCTGCAATTTAGACTTGCGATTAAAACTGTTTAAAATAGTAAAATCGTCCTCTTCAGAGCTAAGGTAAAAAGGGCTTTTAAATAAAACAATTTAAAGGTTTAAAACGCGATTTTTATTATTTAAAATTTTAGTTAGTGTTTTATTTAAATAGGAACTACTCGCGTAAACTACGGACAGTATTTAAAAAGCACCTTTCAAAATTAGCATAACTTCCCAAAAATATCCGTTGCAATTTCAAAGATAAAACAAAACGTCTAACAAAGACTACAGGAAGTTGAAAGACAGGCAGAAAGAAATCAAAAATTTGCATTCTATAATTCGGACAAATGAAATTCGTGCTAGACTCCGTGACGTGACGCCGAGTTGGGACAGTGACGGACCACCTGCCCCCCACCACCACCCCGACGAACTAAGACGCACAGTTGAAAAACGAACAGTAGCCTATAATTTAAGAGCTACTGCGCAAAACCGAAAAATTGTGATAAGAAAATGTACTTTGCTTTGAAAGTTTTTAAAAAACGTACAACAAATTTTGCACATACTACGAGTTTTTATTATTATATATTTATATTTCTATACTAAAATCACAGATAAAGCTTAAAAAGCTACAGACAAAAAACAACTATGGATACATATAATGCATTATTTTAACTTTTCAATGACATTAAATAAATAATATTTTTGCTGTATAACATAATTTACTTTAAAAAAATCTTTTTGTTTGTGTGCCATTTATTTCAAGTGTTTCGATTATATTGTGTTATTTTTTCCAGACAGGGGATTGTCCAACACAACTGTTTTAAACTGATTCTCTTTGAAGATAAACCGTTTCGTTACGTAACGCGTTACGCAGATTTAGATTATAATAGAAAAAAAAATGCTTATTCCCAATTAAAGCATAGACTTTAATTGGTTCAGTTCATGCATTGTAGGGTCATTGAGAAATAAACAATAAAAATGTATCGCTTACAATTTTTAAAAACTGCACAAACATCTAACAACAAAGAATGTTAGGACGGTCTGTCTGTGACGCGGCACGTCATTTGCACAAAATTAAATAGCCTCAAAGAAGCGTCCGTCTGTCCATCGTGACCGACCCCCCTCCCCACCAGCCTCCTTTCTCCCACTCCCCCCCACAGATGCAGGTAAAATGAACCGTGCCAAAGAAATTATTGTACTTTAAACTTAGCTTGATGGAGTTTCCTTAACTTATTATTTGTATTAATTTTTATGTTACGAAGAGGTTATATGAGGCATTTTAATTTACAATATTATTAGCTATTTAGCTACCAGTTATTTCTACTTTAAATCTACTAAACTACTATTGCATTTTATTTCTACTTTTTTTTCTAATAATAAGTCAAGATAAAATTACCTTAAACGTTTAAAACGCGATATAATTAATTAAACTTATTTGAAAATTATTTTGACAACAATGATGATGATGATTGATGACATGAAATAAGTTTAAATAATATAAGTCGCGTTTTAAACCGTCAAAGTGTATTATTTAAATGTGTATGGACAGTAAAAACTTATATTTATGTAAAATTAGTTGGCCAAATGTTGAGAAGGGAAATTATTTAATCATTACTTGTGTTAAAAAAAAATACAACTACATTATTAGTACAGGTAATTTTATCAAAATTGTAGCATTAAAACTTTGGACAGATGCAGTCTAAACGAGTACCTCTAAGACAATGTCTAGGTGGACATCCCCCCTCGGTCCCGCCCCCTCCCAGCTCGCAGATGGATGGATATTGCCTCAGAAAGCAGGTGAGGGATCGGTGCAATGTCGATTTAACTAGCTTCAATAGTGCCTGGGTAATTACGAGGTAATTAGATACAACTGGAGGTGGAACCGGTATGGCAATAAACGACATACTAAAGGTGGGCATAGAGTATATATAACATACTAGCTGAGTCAGCGACTTCGTCTACGTAGAAAAGTTATTTTGGACATCGAGTTTGGTTTTACAAACCTCCTGTTCAACTATATAAATGTAACCCTTTACCCACGACTTCATCCGCGTCCCGTCGTTCGTGTAAGTTAATCTTAAAATATAGACATACTGTCGCGGTCTTTTTTTAGATTTAAAGAATCACGCTTTTATATATATTTTGGGTATTTTGAACCGGTTTCGCAGCGTACGCAATGAAAACGTTTCTACGCGCTTATTAGTCACAGCGCGATGTTTTATAGCCTATAACCTTCCTCGATAAATCTCTAACCAACAGCCATTTTTCAATTCGATCCAGTAGTTCCTGAGATTAGAGCGTTCAAACAAATAAACAAACTCTTCAGCTTTAAGAAATAAAATAAAGAAAACCTTTGAGAGAGTCAAACTAACAATTCACTGGTACGTATATCCTCGCATCTTTCAGACTATATAGGTATGTCTATAGATTTGTTTTCGCCTAATATTTGTAAATCATCTATTGTTAAATTAGATTTAAATATTAAATATTTTATGTATAATATATATTTTTTACGATCCAGTAAGACAAGACTATCATATAGTTCACTTGATGATAAGTAAAATCCCCAGCCTAAACCTACCAACTAAACAAGATTTTCTGTTGATTTTGGATTTGGATATTCGGAAATCCACAGACTATCCGTGACGCAATTATTTTACGCGAGCTTTTTCATCCAAACCTGAGATGTATTTTTACTGGATTAAATCATTTGCGTCACTGGTCGTCAAGATGTGTTACTGCCTTCTTTAAATACAATTGTACAAGAAAATCGGTTACAATTTTCTAGTTTTTGCAGATAACAGCTAAGAAACTTTCTAATGTGTAGTCTAATTATTTGAATGACTAATAATGCTTTTAAACTATCATATTTCTCCGTCCTAACCTCAATTCTAGTACATCGCCGTAAGAAATGACGCACCCGATAACATTATTCCCCTTGATAGCACAAACATGCCACTAATCACTCCCTGACTGCCATCCGTCACCGTCCTACCGCCATCATTCACCACACCACAATACCTAATAGTCCACTTCGACCGTATCACCAGGCATCAAGACCCATTATCCTTCGAATCTTCGCTTTAAATAAATTGTCAAGTCGGACGTCCAGTTAACGAAGAGCCGTCTCACCTCTCCGACTGCTTAACGACGTTGAAGGAATTGAGCGCTGAGCTGGTCATGCGAAGGATCAGCTGGGATTGGTCGATTCGATCATACGTCAAGAAAATGTTATCGGCCTTAATTGAAGATAATGAGGGGGGACATGTGTCTCTGTCTCGTTTTATGGGGTGTGTGGGGGGTTGTTACTTTTTGTATTGAGATCCTCTATTAATGTATGTCCGACGTGTGAGTGAAGCCATTTTAATTATATGGTTTTTGACAGAGGAATACAAGCATATGGTTCAATTCGTAGAAGGTGAAATATCCCAGCCATATAACATCTAACACGATGCGTTGTCTACCTATTTTGGCGTTTGATATTCAGAAATCTATAGACTGAATACTATACGCGATAAAACTACACAGGTTTTGATAATCCGGACGGAATTACAAAATTTTTACTAACCAGAATACCAGATGAACTCTAACATAAATACTGTCTGTAATTAACGCGAGTACACATTTAAATAAAACACTTTAACGGTTTAAAACGCGATATATATCAGTTAAACTTATTTAAAAATTATTTTAATTACGTCCCGGCGTTTCGGATGCTTTCGGAGACACCCCAGTTTAATATATCGCGTTTTAAGCCGTTAAAGTGTTTTATTTAAGTCCAACATATTTCAAAAATTATAAATTGATTAGACTGATGTTGGAACCGGTGAGGATCGAATCTGCGATTGATCACTAGCTATATATTACTACTATATGTTAATGGTGTCATTTCGTTAATCGTTATTATAATAATGAGTCATGTCTGGAGGAGAATTTCCGAGCTAATAAGGAAGGTGACAAATTAGAGACTGTCTGCTGCAAGTCATTAATCAACTGTCAGCCATCTTGATGGACATTCTTCAATGTCTGCCGGTTTTAATAACTTAAGACGTGACTAGTGTTTCGTACGTTCGGGAGGCATATTTTTCTAACAGAGCAGTACAGTCTATTTTTTGGTAGGTACATATTTATATGATCTTATTTGACTTTTTAAATCATAGACGGAACTGTTGGAACTTGCTTGATGTATAGGAAATCTCCTTTATCAACTTAAAAGTCCAATTAGATTAATAAATATGTAATTTAAACTGATTTCTTAGTAGATATATTTTTTTTAATTATTCCTAACAATACTCAACAGTTCGATTTATGATTGATTCTAAATTCTACTCTGTTTAAGTTTTGCTTTGGACTTCATATATAATCAAAAAAATAAAATAGGACTTATTAAAAAGCCTTTTTTATATATTTTTAATCTGTAATGTGTATTATCAGTAAGTAGTGTTTAAGTAACAATAACAGTTATATTAGGTTAGAATAAATCTAAAAAAAAACACGAGTATTGAATTTTTAACACTGATGGGAAAATTTTCCAATAAATACTTAGTACCTAGTAATGTACTTCGTTTTTAAGCACTATCTGTAGTTTACGAGTACCTATAGTATTATAATTTTAAATAATATAACTTTAACGGTTTCGAACGCAAAAGATATAACTTTTTACAATTTATTAAAACTATGAACTGACGTTTCCGATGCTTTGCAGTTTGCA